AATCAACAGAATGCACCATAATTCAACTCTCTTTAGTTAAGAGCTTGTCTAAGACAAGAGAGAAGATTCAAAGAAAACCAGACACGAAAAGGGAATCATTACACCTGACACACTTGCAAACTTTACAAGAATGATCAACTGACATTTTTATTTTTTTCCAGAGATAATTAACTCAACCTGTCCAAGACACCCAGTTAACTTAGGTGAAATTTTCGGTCACTTGCCTAGAATACAAATTGATATGCATATAGTTTTACTTAGGACTAAAAGCTGATTTAAGAAGAATGTATTAGTGTATACATGAAGCCATTTAAAGGTAGTGTGCCACGACTGCTCATGGTGCCACCACCTCCAACCGACTAGATGCCTCACAGACTTGGGCTCAATCCTGACCTCACTGCTGCTTGACAGCCTCAAGTCCAGTTTTCTCTCTCATACAATGTGAAGAATTACCTCCTCGAGGGCTGGTATGCAAATTAAAGGAGACACAGAATGTAACACCACCTGGTACACAGTAGGCATCAAAAGTTACGTGTTCTTCCTTATGCTTTTCAAAATGTTTCCCCCCATACTGCTTCCTTGGCTTTCACTCTCCACATCTACATTGTCACTAAGTGCAGACAACTTGGCTTCAGCTGCAGACTTTGATTCCTGGGCCTCCTTTCTATTAATGTGGAAATAGTTTCTTCCCTAAATGACTTGTTCCTTCCCTAAATGACTGCCATCCCTCCCCTTTTGTCCTTCCTCGACTGGCTTACTTTTTGAGCCACCTTACTATAATTTTGTTTAGAAACCTCCCTCTGGGTTCCCTCCCTATAAAATAAAAATCTCACGGCTAGATTGTTGTTTTTGTTGATCAAGACGATTCAGTCATGGTCCTCAAGGCTGCACCTACTTCTCCGAGCCCATTCACCTTCCTCAGGACTTTTGCATTTGCTGTTCACTCTGCCAGGACCTAATGTGTTTTCGAGAGTAAATTTGACTATATGCAACTTAGCCACATGAGTGGACATTTTGCCAAGAGTATTTAGTTGAACACAAATTACACATGTTTATGACATTTATATTATGTTATCTGAGTCATAAATATCCCTTTCATCTGTTTGAATACTAGCAGGAGTTGGTAGCCAGTGGTGTTTAATAAGAAAGGACAGAGTTTCAGGGGGAGAAAAATTAAATTCATGTTTGGTCATCATATACTTTTTTCCTGCATAACAAACCACTCCTAATGGCTTAAAATAAATCTGTTATATCTTGCCATTCTGCAGGTCTGCTGGGCATTTCTGGCCTGGGCTAGCTGGCCTGATTACTGAAATCATTTGGATGCTCTACTGAAACTGAATGGCCTGGTATGGCCTCACACACATGTGCTTCAGCTGTGAAGGTTCAAATGTACTCCACTTGGAGTCTTATCTTCCAATAGGCTAGTCCAGGCTTCTTCAGAGAGCAACAAGACAGGATGCTCTCCAGCCAGCAAGGTGTTTCCAAGCCTCTGCTTGTGTTCTGTTTGTTAATATCCCATTGAACCCAGGAAGTCATACGGTCTATGCATATAATATGTGCTTTGGGGACCATTCCTGAAACAGTCTAGCCCAGCCACTTACTGATGCAACACTGGCAAATCACTTGTTTATTAAATATAGATCCCATTTATAAGAACAATTTTAACTTCTTTACATGTTCTATGCCTTCCTTTTGTTGTTTCCTTACAAGGAACTAGGGAGGGTTCGAAGGTAAACAAAATGCATTGGTAAGTATTTGCTATTTATGAATTGAAATGACTACCCTGAAAAATGGACTGGTTTTAATGTGGCTTTTCCCATAGATGTTTTGCATTTATATCTTTTTTTCATGGCAAAAAAATAAAGCAAAAAGAATAAAGTAAAATGAACTAAAAGCTCATTGCTAAAAGATACCCATTTTTAACATTTCAGTAACTTACTCTTCCACTTTTTCTATGGATTCTAACATTGACAATAACTTCCAAGCAAAGTTAAAACTTCTAAGAGTAAATGGATTTAACTATTTCCCACTTTGAAAACTCATTAAAATATTTATGTGTTGAAATGAAAACAAGTGGACATGCCATGTAATGTTTCTAATTAAGTTTACTGGTACATGTTAGGTATACACTATGGTGATATTTATCATTGGGAATTTGTACCTTTACATGATACATCTTGGTTCTTATTTCTTTCCCCATTCCCCTGCCCTCCTTCAACCACTCCACCTCTCCCTATTTACAAAGAGTTTTTTCCTTTTTTCATATAATTCCTCTCCCTTTTCTTTTCATTGAGTTTATTGGTACTTTTTAGGTATACAGTACTGTTAACATCCATCATTGGGATCTTGTACTTTACATGACAGGTCTTGGTTCTCATTTTTCCCCATACCCCTGTCCTCCCTTCACCCACTCCACCCTCCCCTATTTATAAAGACTTTGTTTCCATTTTTTACTTTTCCCTTATTTCCTTTCGCCTACCCTTCTCACTTCCCCTTTTCCTTTGGACCTTTTCTTCCTATTTCACATTATCTATCATAAATTTTGATTCTTCTGTGCACTTTCAGTTTCTCACACCAGAGAAATGTTTTGGTATTTACACCTGTGTGTCCTATCTATTTCACTTATGAGTATGGCCTCAATGTGCACCCATTTATTTATGTTTCTAATTTATCATTCTTTATAGCTGAGTACTGACCTATATACCTCTCACCATGCACTAAACTAAAATCAAAATGGATCAAAGATCTAAATATTAAAAGAGAAACACTAGGGCTGGGGATTTAGCTCAGTGCTGTAACACCTGCCTCATAAGCACAAGGGCCCGAGTTCAATCCCCAGTCCAAAAACAACAAAGAAGAAAAACCAAGAAACACTAAACCGGCTCGAAGAGAGGTTAGGCAGAACTTTTGAAGACATTGGCATAGGAAAAGATTTTATGAACAAAACCTCAGTCATATGTGAATGACTAAATTACAAAGAATCAACAACTGGGATCTCATCTTATTAAAAAGCTTCTTCACAGCAAGAGAAACCACCAACAGCATGAAGAGACTACCCACAATGTGGGAAAAAATTTCACCAGCTGTTCCTTAGTCAGAGGTCTACTATCTAGAATATATAGAGAACTTTTAAAAAAAATCAGACCTCACAAGTTTAAAGACCCAATCCAAAAATGGGCATCTGAAATGAACAGACATGTCTCAAACAAAGAAGTAAAAGCAGCAAGTAAATATCTGAAAAAATGTTCCACATCACTGGTCATTCAAGAGATGCAGATGACAACAACACTGAGAATCGAAGAGGATATAAAAAAATGGAAAGATATCCCCTGCTCCTGGGTAGGAAGAATCAACATAGTGAAAATGGCCATACTACCAAAACTGCTATATACATTCAATGCAATGCCAATTGAAATTCCAACACTATATTTCACAGAACTAGAAAAAAGAATCCAAAAATTCATTTGGAACCACAAGAGACCTAGAATAGCAAAAGCCATTATAGGCAACAGTCACATGGCACCAGGTGTAACAATTCCCAATTTGAAACTATACTACAAAGCCACTGTGATAAAAACAGCATGGTACTGGCAAAGAAATAGGCCTGAGGATCAATGGAACAGACTGGAAGACACAAAAACAAATGCAGATGTACTCAGCTACCTCATCTTTGACAAAGGAGCTCACCATCCTCAGTGGAGGAAAGATAG